GATAAGTGAAGGAGACAAAGTGTGCAGCTTAGTCTCAAAGATCGATGATCTGGTGGAAACATTGTCGAGTCAAACGAACAGCCCAGAAGCCAGTGTTTTTCAAGAACTAAGGCCGAGCACACCCGAACCCCAAAATGAACAAGACACTTTTCTTTCCCAAGAATCAGGGTCCATTAGTACCGTGACCGACAGCAAACAGGACATCCCATGTACATCGGAGGGAAATGCTGCCCGGTCTGCATCTGTCTCTAGTGATTCCGTTTTTTCTTGTGAAATTAAACCGTTTGATCTGCCCAGAAAAAGACCAGAAACGTTTGATGAGAACAAACATTTGGCTTTCTTTGTAATGGCCTCAGTGTTCAGGTGTTCAAAGAAAAGAGGTGGACCCCTGACGTCACTAGAGATAAGACAGAGCTTATCCAATATGTCGGGAAAGAGAGTGAAGAGACTTGCAGACCTGAGTAAAAATGAAGAATTAGTAAAAAAGGTTGTTACAGACATCTGCAAACAACTGAGAGAGGAGTTTGGCTCGGATCAAGCAATATACAGTGCCATGATATCACACAGTGTTTGTCCAGTTCAGACTGCAGTGGTAAAATATTTAAGCAGTCATCTTCCAAAACCCCGAAACTGTAAACCTAGTATCTTTGGGAGATTTAGAGACATTTTTAAGGGCCTGTTCGGACAAAAGTGAACCTCTAAGAGCCTGTAGATGAAAACTACAGGCTCGTCTGTCTGTCTGTGTGTCTGTCTGTCTGTCTGTCTGTCTGTCTGTCTGTCTGTCTGTCTGTCTGTCTGTCTGTCTGTCTGTCTATCTAAGTGGTTTTCTCCAGGTGCTCTGGTTTTTCCATAAAAAAACAAACATTAATCTAAGGGGGTATTTTAAATATTCAACCTCAATGGGACGGTCACTTTAAAAGCAACAAGAACCGTTTTTTCATACCTGTTAATGGAAAGCTATGGGTTTGGACCTTCAAGCTTTCCCTCTCTGGTTCTTTTTCCTGAAAAGAGATCACTCTTGACAAACTCTTTAAATAACACTTCATTACGTATATGTATAAAATAAGCAGGAGACATGACAACAGATTTTGATAGAAATTGTAATCTTACTCAGACCAAAAAAAGTTGCTTAGAGTTACAGAAGGAAGCTGCTTACCAACCGGGCTCGCATCTCGTGAATTCACAGTTAGAGAAGCATTTTATACAAGTCCAGTCTGCCACATCATCACATCATTACATCATACATGTTAGCAGATGAGGAGACATCCATGGCTCCAGGCCTATCACAATATTACATATTGTTCTTAGCTTAATCAGTTTTTAAAATAATATAAAGCTGCATTGGATTTAGAAATATTTTCGACAAAAAATTACAAGTTAAATAGTTAAGATAACCGCACAGATTTGAATTCTCAACCTACAACCAAGCAGAGTTAGAGGTGAACCAGATGTTGTGGACTTCTTCAAAATGTGCATTTTATTGTTTAGACTTGATGAAATAAGATTTAACTGTAGATCAAATGTACGATGGAGAGCTCCTCCTCTTAACAGATTCCTTTAGTTTTTTTTTTTTTTTTCAGAATTACCTTTCTATAGATCTTCAGCAGCTGTTGGTAAAGTTTCAGGTTTAATATGTAAACTATTTCTATTACTGTTTTGCAGCGTTTGTGTTTGAGGATAACTGAAACAAATTGAGAATAATCACCTCCTGTTGGAGAATGTTAAAAAGCAGATTGAAGTATCAGGTTTATAGATGTGGCAACATTATAATCCTAATTAAGGAGGCAGAAAGGAAACAAGAATCAAAGGCAGATCTTTAAGTTATCAGGCTCCTCTCCTGTGGAACCAACTACCAGTTTTAGTCCGTGAGGCAGACACCCTGTCTACTTTTAAGGCTAGGCTTAAAACGTTCCTTTTTGATAAAGCTTATAGTTAGAGTGGCTCAGGTTATCCTGAGCTATCTCTATAGTTATGCTGCTATAGGTTTAGACTTCTGGAGGACATAGGGACCCCATTTCATCATTCTGCTTCATTTTCTCTCTACTCTCCCATTCTGAGCATCTGTTAGTTCAATCTCTAACATTCTGCTCTCTCTGCTTTTTCTCATAGTAGCTTCGCCTCGTCTGTTCCTGTTTGGCTGTGACACCATCCTGGAGAGAAATATCAGCTGTGCTGCTACCATCAACACATTTGTTTATAGATGCTGGAGATCAACTGGTTTTCCTTAGATAGAAAACTTTGAATCAATTTGACTGGATGATCTGGTTGAACTGTAAAGTGCCTTGAGATGACATGTGTTGTGAATTGGCGCTATATAAATAAACTGAATTAAATTAAATTCTAGGCTTCATTTTAAAATGAATTTAAACAGTTTTAACTTTATTTATTTTTTATTATGAATTTATTTTTTGTATTTACCATGGATATAGATAACTTATTGGTGTTTTAAAAAAGCAAATAATAACAAAAACAGTGTACTATATTTTAGAAACAGACAATGCAGACAGTTCTTCAGCACTGACAGCAGATGGCGTACAAACATGTTTATGTCTGCTGATTAGGCCTGTTGCAAAAAGTCTTTGCAGGCTAAAGGAGATAAAGTAAACGATGTCAGGACAAGTACTTGACTAATATTGTTAGTTTGAGGCTTGTGTATACATTTTAATAGTCCAATATGGCTAGGCCTCATTAAAGAAACACTATGTTAATGAGGTACAAGGAGGCATTAGACCTATACCTTCAAAGTGTAGAGGTCTACAGTACATATGCATGTAACTATTTATATTATCAATCTTAACTTTAATCTTTAATGAAAAAAATGGATGTATTTTATGTTAAAAAAGATTATATTTGCAGAGTTTTGTCTTAATGTACGGTATTGTTTCAGCAAAGAGTATCTTGTTGAGTCTGTGCACTGTCATCACTGTTACTATAAGTGATGATTCATATTAGTTGACAATTCTTTCAATTATCAATTAATTCTACTTCCTATAGTCCTTAATAAACACCAACAGATCTACTGTTTCCTAATAGTAAAGTCAGCCGCACTTTTGTTAAAAAAAAAAAGTAAATTCCTTATCACAATAATTACTAAGTGTGTAAGGTTTTAACTGTATCGCAGCCAGGTAACTGGGTGACGATACGAAGAAAGTCTAGTCGTGAATCTCTGCCAACTGGTCACCACCAACCCGTCCATGTTTCTAACTGCTTTACCCCGGTTAGTGACACATCCACTGAGAAGCCCACTCTGGTAATTGGCAGCTCCATAGACAGAAACGAGGCATTAGAGACACCAGGGACCATAGTCAAATGTTTGCCTGGGGCCAGAACGGGCAACATCAAATCCTACCTAAAACTGCTGGCTAAGGATAAGGTTAAATACAGTAAGATTGTTATTCACGCTGGCGGTAATAACACCCTGTAACACCGATCAAAGGGCACTAAAATCAGTGTTGCTTTGGTCTATACGTTTATAAAACAATGTCGGACGCTGTAATTTTCTTTGGTCTCCTCCCTGATCTGACCAGTGATGACAAACTTTCATGTTTCTTAGTCTTTTAAAGGAAATAGGATTTTAATCGTATTTTTAAAGTCAAATAAAGTCCAATTTAAAGGAAAATCTGCATGTTAATCTAGTTGAACTAATCAGAAGAATCTTATCCTTTTGTTATTTTTTTAGAGGTAATTTATCTTTAGATTACACAATATATTATTAAAATCATAAAGTCTTTGAATTAGTGAGTTTAAGTGTGGGTTATACTCCACTGCATCAACTTACATTGACATGGTACTTGATTGAAATAAGAGTGATTTTAAAAAGGGATGACTTTAACTGTAAACGCGTTTTAGATCTTCACTGTGGGCTCCAGTTTTTGGGAATCCTTTGTGAAATAAACCAGCGCAACATTTGAAATATCTAATTAGATGAAATGATTCAATAGGAAAACACAAAGTGATCAGTTTTCTCGGTTTTTATCCAAAAGGGAAAAATATATATATTATACCATACATCTAAACCTTAAATCTTTGTGAGAAATGACAAAGCATCACACAGTTCAGTGTACAAGTTGTAACCACACCTGCAGCTCACAGGAATGTCAATAAAAAAATAAATAAATGTAAATCCCTTTATCGTCCCGCAATGGGGAAATTCATTCTCTGCATTTAACCCATCCCCTGCAGTGTGGGACTAAGGGTTTTGCTCTGGAACTCAGAGTGGAGGCTGTGGGGATCAAACCAGGTACAAGCATCGTTCTCAGATCGCAAGCACACTGCTCTAACCACTAGGATGTAGAAGAGCATCTTATCAAAAAAGATGGGATTCAAACCCACGTGTGCAGAGCACAACAGATTAGAAAACCATGGCTTTAATCTCTCGGCCACCTCGTCTCTAAATTAGAAAGCTATCATACATTCCAGTCCAGCTCCCCTTCACATTTACATTCCTTGGTGCTCAGGTTTTGGCCACAAGTTGTGATATTAAAGCGTTGTGTTTTATTAGCACACCTTCTAAGGATTTGTCAGACATCCAGAATGATCTATATGATATATATTACATTTAATGATTTAAGAGACACATTTAGATTTATATATATACTCTACAAATATGACCAAAAGAATTGTATTGAACAATTAAGAAGCTTCTCTCTGAAACTCCAAATACAACCCAGAGCTAAAGAAACACACTTTACCATATTTTCTATGAATGCAACAAAACTAAAACATTTTGTTAAAACTTAGAAAGATGGATGAAATGGACATTAATTCTGAAGCATACTGCACCCCTTTTTATGCACTTTGTCATTTTATGTTTAGATAATCATGACCTGATATTCTCAATACCTCAATGTACCTCATGCACTTTGTATATTTAAAATAATGTTTCGTCCAACACGTGTGTGTACATATATTGGTATAATAATAGTTAAAGAAAACAAGGTGTTTTGCTTCTACACAACTTTGTTTTAGTTTCTTTCAATAAAATATGTAGATCTTCTCTGCAATAAAACTGTAAAATTTGATTTATTTTGTAGCACAGCTTTAGAGATAACAGGAAATATAGAACATTTTAATTTTCCAAAGAAGTATCTGAAGCTGGCTGAAGATGTAAGCTGCTAGCTGGAGGAAATGTAGATGGTTTTGAACTTTTCTAAGACGCTGATATCCTTCTCCAGTTGTGTCATTTTCTCTTCCAGAAAGATCCTCTCTTTTTTCTTTGTCACGGTGTCTATGACAAAGGGAAGGAGCTGATATTCATGATAGACTTCATCCCACTTCTTCTTCAGTCCCTTCAAAAAAAAAAACGCAAAGAAATTTTAACCTTAAGGTTCTTCAAAGGCTATTATTTAAAAAAAAAAGACATAATTCTGTCTTTAAACCCCTTTGACTTCAACAATCTAATTTGGTTTTCTTCATCGGAGACTTTATATGGGCCTAAGGAAATTTAGTTAACCTTTAGTATAGCTTGATGCTCCTCTTCTGATAGGCGTTCCCTGGTGTTCAGCTCCTTTACAAAGCGCTCGTACTCCTCCCTAGCCTTTTGTTCAGCTTCTGTGCGCTGCTTCAAGTACGCAGGTACTTCACCATAATCCTAGAGATTGAAGAAACATCATGCTTCACGATCTGCTTATGTATCAAACTGGGCTCTGAAAACCATGATTTTGCAGTTAATATAATCCTTCTATAAGCTTTATTGCTCATCTTCAGACTCAGGGGAATCATAGACAATTATTTTAATGGAATTCTTAACTGAACCATCTAGCAGCAGGTTGGTACTCTTTAAAAGCACAAGGGGGAGAGAAAAACAAGCAAGCCCTGAGCTAGGAGTGCTACTGTATGTATGTAGGCGACAAAAAAACCAAAGAAATATTCAGAGTTAAAGTTAACAACTCTTCTCTCTGTAGATTCTCTCAGGAGAGAGACACAGCTCAACATAGATGTTTGAGCCTACTTTTTATGAAAAGTCCTGTGAACCAAGGGTGAAACTTTGCGATGAAAGTTGGTGGGGACACTCTAAGGGTGGGGGCTGATGGACCTACAGTTATTTTACCCAAACGCTTTCATTATGTTTTTGTATTTTCCAAAAATGAGCTGAAACATATATTAATTGAATGCTTTCCTATTGTTGAGAACACAAGAGAATCATAACACACTGCAATTGATACTTAGAGAAATAGATAGAGATAGTTAGAAAAATGCCTTTTAGTGCATTATATATATATATATATATATATATATATATATATATATATATATATATATATATATAAAACATTCATATTTAAAAAAAATAAATAATAACAGCCGATTCCAATTCCAAAACTGATATATAATGCATCCCTAGAAGTAAAATTTCAATTGCATCCATTTATCCAGAAAAATATGGATATGCTGCATTTTGAATATAGGAAAGCATATTTTGTTCTTGTAAACTTTCTGGTAAAAAAGATTTATGAACCTCTTTACTAATATAATGATGCCAGAAACTAAATTTTACGGTATGTAAAAGCTCTGCAGTCTGATAAGAAAACATGTTAATTTTAACCTGTAACTGGGAGTCATGGTCCTCTGAGAAGCCAAGATTTCTTTAACTGGTAAAGAAGAACCAACTATGCTTTCTCAAGCTTCTTGCACTATAATATTAACTTGTTTAAACTTACAATCTGTTGCCCTTTCTGCGAAAAAAAGCTCTGTGTGTCTAAGGAACAGATTTTTCGGTGGCAAATATTTTTACTTTTACTCAAACATCAAATTAGCTGCTGGTTAATATTCAATGAGTGCTGCTGTGTGTCTCTCCTCCAACCACGTAACTGCTCCGTATGCAGTGAAATGCGACCACAAATCACATGTCTCAAAGCAACGACGTTACACCGAGAGACGGGACACGGGAGCAGCATGAGAGAGGGGAAAAAAAACACTGACTGAAAATGATCTGAACACAGATAGCTGCACCCAACCTCTGTTACCCTTGGCTAAAGTAAATGAGCGGAAAGGGGAAAAAAGCGGAAATTGTTGGTCCTTCAGAAAGTTACACCAGTGCTGTGAATGCATAATGGACGGCCAGTTTTACTACTTCTATAGGAGTGCATGTTTAGTTAGCAAAGCAACAATAACACCAGTGCTGTCTCAAAACAGAAAGTAGATAAACACACAGAAAAAATGGGTGAGGAGGAGTTTTTTTTTGGGGGGGGGGAAATGTACAGATAACCACAGAAGCACTGTTACTAAAAAGGATAACAAAAAGATAACAGTTACAATTGCTCCATCAGTTGCTGAACACAGAAAAGCTAGTTACAGTAAGCAATACTTTCTATGATATAGAAAACTAATATAGAATGGGCTCTACTGATAAAATAGACACAGATAGAGAAATAATCAGGCAGGTAAGTTACCCATAGAAAGTAACAGAGCAAAGTGAAAGGGTGCATTAAGGACAATACCTTTTTTCTGATGTATTTGGGGATAAGGCCAGAGTTTTCCAGAAGCTGTTTCTTTGTTTCTATGAAAGAAGGCTTAGGCGTCACTGGAACCAAATCAGTTTTCTGTGAGAAAACCTTCTTGGATTGGATCCCAATCTGTGGCTTGTCGGTCCGTAAAGGGGCTGGAGGCTTGTGGAAATGTTCAGGTTCTGTTGAATAGAAAACAAAAGCAGACACAGGTCATATTCCCATTAATAAGACAAACCCTTAGGAAAATTGGTATAGCAACTCACCCGCAGGAGGTTTAAACTGCTTTGAATGCTTTTTGAGGAACTTATCTGGAGACGGGAGTTCCACTTTAGGTGGTCCCATCGTCTTCATTGCATCTTTCTGTTTGGACTCTTGCTCAATAATCGCAGCTAGCCTGTTCTTGGCTTTATACCTTTAAAGGAGATTTCAGAAAACCAATTAACCATTAAAGCCCTTCAATCCATATTTATTAAGATTTTATGTGGAAAAAACTAACTTTTTATTAAATGACAACATTTGGGGCCAAAGTAACATACACTTTTTTGTCTGCTTTGGTTTTAAAGATGTATAAAAATATTCAAATTTGTATTTTAATTTTTCGTTCAAAGAAAAGTAATCAGCAAATACCATGATCCCACATGTGGAACCAGTGCAAAGCGTTATGTTTGATTTAGGACCACATTGCCTAACTGTGATTCTAATGTACCTGGAACCTTTGTTTGGCTGCAGATAAAAGTTGATTGATTTCACTGGTCAAACCTCTACTAAATTATTATTTTTACAAAGTCAGATAATAAAAAACATATCAAAAAACACCATATGATTAATTATATTCTCAATCGGTACTTGGATGGCCCTAAAAGTTTAAAATATTAGGATGAAATGCTGAAAAAGTTGGGGCAGAACTGGAAAAGCCAGCTTCCTGCTCTATATATTTTTTAAGTAGATTTTATTTTGTACATTTGTATGTACTCATTCCTGTAGTAGAAGTTTCATGTTTAATCTTCCAATTGTAAAAAAAAAATAAAAATAAAAAAATAAATAAAAAGGCATATTTATATTCTATTTAATGGGTATATCGTCGCAACAAACGCTCATTTGTCTTTTCCCATTAATTCCACAGTTTAAAATGGTTAAATATAAAGAAGAATCCTGCTTTGTTAACTAACAGTCATCTTAGTAAAATGGCAAACAGTAACCAGACTCAGTTGTACAGAAACTCAGATAAAATTACTCACCTCACTGGTTTTTTTACTTTCTCCTCCTCCTTTAGGTTATTGTACACATTTTCTGTTGGATCGAAATAAGACATGTTGGATGCCTTAAAACAGGGAAAACTGAACGTTTGTCTTAAAATCCCAATAGGTTGGTTGCTAGGCAGTGGAAGAAACACAAATGTTTGTTTTTTCTATCTCCATGGCAACTAGGAAGGAAACAGTAGAGGCGGGATTTCCTGAAAAGTAGCCAATCACAAGCAGTTTACCTTCTAAGTTGGTTACAAGGGGACAAAAGTTGATATGAGGGCAGAGAAACAGATCAAGAGCTGCTGCACACTACTGATGCCACCATATTAGTGTGGTACTTAGACAGTTTTATTTGTCATTTTGTATACACACGTGTAAAAAAGTCTAATATTAGTTGGGTACTGTTAACCTGACTCCGCCAGATGGATTTGTTCCGCATATCCATCTGGAAACCTTCCATTGAAGTAATTTTGGGAAGGGGCGAAAATACTGGTTAGCTGATTGGCCTATGTTGGTGATAGACGGGCCAAATAAACCAATCAGATCAACGAAGCATATGACGTACTAACAGAGCGACGACGAAAAGCCAGGCACAAGCCAATTGATAGATCAAACTCTTGCCGAAACCAGTCGGGAGAAGAGCAAAAACATCTTTTCCTCTGAGAAAAGCCTCCAGAGCAGTGTTTTGCTCTTCTTTCAGTGAAGAAATACTGTGTAATTCCGATAAAACTCTCTGGATAGCCACGCTAACGCTAGTTTCATCGGCTGAAGCCGCCATGTTCTTTAGACTGAATTGTCGCGCGTCGTTGCGTCACACCTCAACCCGCCTCAAAGCCAACGCTGATTGGACGTTTGTTTGGTGAGTGAAACATTGAAAGCTCGCGAGATGAGGATGGTCTCATGAGGCTAGGGTACTGTTGCAAAAACCATAGAAAGTTCTAACAAAGAAATAATAATCTTAGCACTATACTCTTTTGTTTCGGACTCATATATCACATCTTTTGTAGAAAACAGATTTTTACTTTATAATAACTAGACTAATTCTAGTTTAAAATGGAAAAATCTAAAATTCTGTTCAAAGTAATACATATTTTTATACTTGTACATAGCAATATATCATTAAAAAAGATACTGTTTGTGGAAAAATGTGTGTCTAATCTTCTACAAGAGATGTCAATAAATATCATTCTATTTAATTGGTAAACTGAAGATTTTGACTGTTTTAAGTTTCAGAAAGTAAATGACTACGGAACATCAGAAGTTTTAAACTTGTTTGTGACCTCAAATAAATAATGTTTGAAGTGATTAAGATTATGTCTGGCAACTCCTTGCCTTAATTGTTATGCTATTTTTTTATTTTTATTTTTTACATAAATGATGCATTTGTTTGCTCCTTCTGAACACCCTTTTTTTAATCATAAAAACTTCTAATTACGCCCTTCTAAATATGTTTTCACCTTTTACTTATCTGTTTGTATTTAAACATCATTATAGTAGGACTTAAATTATTTAATTCTCTTTAGTGATCATGCCTAGAACTTTATTTTAAATAATTTCCAAAAAGTATAAACCTATAGGATACAATTGTCATGGACTATTTTATTTTCTAAATTTAAAGGTAAAATACTACTTTACTGATACCCCTCCAATATATGAGTACTACTTATGTTATATTATAATGATTACGGTAATATTACTCTGTTTAATGGGAGCATATGATTTTCCTCCCTAAATGTATTTTCTAATAAAAAATTATTGTCGTTCAGAATCACAGCCTGGGATCTGGTTTGCTATAAATGGAAACCTTTTTTCTCGATAACCCTTACCTACATGAGGAAGGATATTAAAGTATTGAAATATATACAGGTGCTGGTCATAAAATTAGAATATCATGAAAAAGTAGATTGATTTCAGTAATTCCATTTAAAAAGTGAAACTTGTATATTATATTCATACATTACATACAAACTCATATATTTCAGATGTTTATTTTGTTTAATTTTGATGATTACAAATGACAACAAATGAAAATCTAAAATTCATCATATCAGAAAATTAGAATATTACTGAAGACCAATAAAAACAAAGGATTTATAGAAATGTTGGCCAACTGAAAAGTATGAACATGAAAAGTATGAGCATGTACAGCACTCAGTATTTAGTTGGGCCTCCTTTGGCCTGTATTACTGCAGCAATGCGGCGTGGCATGGAGTCGATCAGTCTGTGGCACTGCTCAGGTGTTATGATAGCCCAGGTTGCTCTAATAGTGGCTTTTAGCTCTTCTGAATTGTTGGGTCTGGTGTATTGCATCTTCTTCTTCACAATACCCCATAGATTTTCTATGGGGTTAAGGTCAGGAGAGTTTGCTGGCCAATTAAGAACAGGGATACCATGGTCCTTCAACCAGGTACTGGTAGCTTTGGCACTGTGTGCAGGTGCCAAGTCCTGTTGGAAAATGAAATCTGCATCTCCAAAAAGTTGGTCAGCTGCAGGAAGCATGAAGTGCTCTAAAACTTCCTGGTATGTGGCTGCGTTGACCCTGGACCTCAGAAAACACAATGGACCAACACCAGCAGATGACATGGCACCCCAAACCATCACTGACTGTGGAAACTTTACACTGGACTTCAAGCAACGTGGATGAAGTGCCTCTCTTCTTTTCCTCCAGACTCTGGGACCTTGATTTCCAAAGGAAATGCAAAATTTACTTTCATCAGAGAACATGACTTTGGACCACTCACCAGCAGTCCAGTCCTGTTTCTCTTTAGACGCTTCTGACGCTGTCTGTGGTTCAAGAGTGGCTTGACACAAGGAATGCGACAGCAGAAACCCATGTCTTTCATACGTCTGTGTGTGGTGGTTCTTGAAGCACTCACTCCAGCTGCAGTCCACTCTTTGTGAATCTCCCCCACATTTTTGAATGGGTTTTGTTTCACAATCCTCTCCAGGGTGCGGTTATCTCTCTTGCTTGTACACTTTTTTCGACCACATCTTTTCCTTCCCTTCGCCTCTCTATTAATGTGCTTGGACACTGAGCTCTGTGAACAGCCAGCCTCTTTAGCGATGACCTTTTGTGTCTTGCCCTCCTTGTGCAAGGTGTCGATGGTCGTCTTTTGGACAACTGTCAAGTCAGCAGTCTTCCCCATGATTGTGTAGCCTATAGAACTAGACTGAAAGACCATTTAAAGGCTTTTGCAGGTGGTTTGAGTTAATTAGCTGATTAGAGTGTGGCACCAGGGGCCATCAATTTTGAACCTTTTCACAATATTCAAATTTTCTGATATGATGAATTTGAGATTTTCATTTGTTGTCATTTGTAATCATCAAAATTAAACAAAATAAACATCTGAAATATATGAGTTTGTATGTAATGTATGAATATAATATACAAGTTTCACTTTTTAAATGGAATTACTGAAATCAATCTACTTTTTCATAGTATTCTAATTTTATGACCAGCACCTGTATAATATCTCTGAAGCGTACAGTTATACATCGATGAAGCAAGATTCGCTCCTTCACTACACTCTTATTTCCGACATTCCAATAGGCACTTAAAAAACAAACATTTTTTTTTTTTTTTAATTTTATTCCACAAAAAAAAACAAAAAACAGAAGTCATTAGAATTTTGGCACTGTAAGTAATCATGATTAAAAATATATTATTATTTGGTAAAATGTAGGATTAGAGTATACTACATATTTTATCAAGTGAAATGCAGATGAATGTTTAACTTTAAAACATCCAACAGGAAAATTTTTGTTTTCAAGAAGAGACAGTAAAACATGTTTTGTTAGTCTGTTCTAAATATTCTGTTGAGAGAAAGATTTTAGTTAGTCTGTTACAAGAAAATAAATTGCAATTAAATATACAAGATATTTTGGACAAACTTTCTACTTCTTAAATGTGTTTTTTTATTTATTTAATGAATTACCTTAAAAACGAAATTGATAGAAAGAATATACGATTCATTAACTTAATTATTATAATGGTATTTATTTATTTGTTTGTTTATTTTATGGGAGAATTTATATATAGCATCCCGATCCACACTCTATTCCAGTAGATGGCGGTAATGCGCATCAATAAGTTGCTTGCTAACCGCCTTAAAAAAAGAAGAAGAAGAATTTAACTTTGTCCCTTCGGACTTGCCGTCCGTACTGGAAAAGAAGAAAGCGGACAGATCTGTCAGAAATGGGGAGACCACGGGCTCTGTTTTGTAAATGATTTATACATTTCGCCTAAACAGCAGGAAGAAGCCGAACATCTCCGTGAGTGATTTACTGAGCAGATCTGTAATTTATGGTGGGCTATTGACACGATGTAGAACAAAAGGTCTGTTGATAACTTGTTGAAAACGTTTAAAGTTCAGCCTTCTGTGCAGGGAGCTTTTCAGAATAAGAGCCCTGATCTCTAAAAAAAAAAAAAAAAAAAAAAAAACAGGTGTCAGAGACATCTTCTAAGAAATGTTTATTTAAAAATCGATCTGGTATTTACAGTTTATGGAGAACTTTGAAATGTAACCACATGTTAGCGGGAAAAAAATGCAGACTTATTGTATTAAAAACACGTTTATTAAAAATCTAAAAGCAGAGGGTTGGAAAAACTAGGTGCAGCTTTGGATAAAAAAGTGATCCCATCTCGACATTTCTTCTGGACTGTATTAAGCCATTATAATCCTTTCTATATAGTCTATATTAATTGCAATGCACTGTTTGGGGTCATCATCCTGCAGATAACCAAGCTTTGACCAAAGTCCAGTTAGTAAACAAATAGCCTCACATTTCACATACAAATACTTTAAAAGTTCCTCTTTGTTGACTCAGTATCTAAAAGTTATTATTCCATCATCATCCTGCTGGATGTTGTGTTTGCTGACATGTTTTAGTAATTTATTCCTCATCAAACAACTCTACATTGTCTCTTCTGTCCATACACATTTATAGTAGGGCTGAACGATTTAGCCAAAAATCAAAAGTGTGATTATTTCCTAATATTATTGCCATGTCAATTATATTGCTATTTTCATTTGGAGCAAACACAAACATGTAGATGTTTCACCTCTGGGTTTCAGTTTTTTCATGACCTTGAAATCTTTCTTGTCCAGAATCCAGTGTTGCAGGACTTTACTGTATCCTTTGAATGAAAATGTTCTTACTTCTACTATCCTGCATGGATCTGGATGCTTGCTGCAACTCTTTCTTCCCATCCGTGGCAGCAAACTCACTTTAAGTGTATTGCTGCCACCTAAAGGCCTGAAGGGAGAAATGCACTGTCTTACTCTTGTTAAATGAAGTGTGAATAAAACTGAGTGCCTCTGAGATTTGAAAATTGTATTTTGCAAAATTACAAATTCAACTAATTGCAAAGCCCTACTTTATAGTCCATTCAAATACAGATCTGCAAACCAGAGTCTGGTTGCCATATTCCGTTCCGATATAGGAGGTTTGCTGTTGTCTTTAACCTTCCCAAAAAGCCACACATATTCGATCTTTCATAATTATACTCTCATTGATATTTAACTGACACAATAAAAGCACTACATCCTTAGTCCGGGTGGGGCCAACCTTTCTTTAGTATTAATGTTTTCCTAAATTTGTCCCTTTGTTATCAACTCTAACTTGGACCAGACCAGCAAAAGTCTGAGGTATACAGTAGTAGCCATTCAAAATTTCCCTACTTTCCTTGATTAGCCCTTGGCTGGTCCCCTACAATTCCTGTTTAAACATCAGTATTTGTACTAAAATATTCTTTCTGTCTTGATTTAAGATCTAAAGAGAAACATCATCTCCTAGTCAGACCCTGTAATTCAGTGAAAGGGTGGAGTCGGAGTAAAAAATATGCAAAACGGGTTTAATCCAGTGGCTGGAAGTTGGAGCCAAGTTGGCTGCCATTCGGCTGGAGTTTGACTGGGAGGGACCATTTTGAATGGCTGCTACTGTAATGACATCAGCTGTAGCATTACATACCGTCCATACAGTCAAGATTAATTGCAGCAGCAATAGTTTTTTTTTTTAAGTTATTGGTGAGGTCTCCCTGATTTGACATAAAACAAAAAAAACAAAACAAAAGCAGCACACCTGTGTGTTAAAAAAACAAAAAAACATAAAAACATATCAAGTACAACAATTATAGATCACTGAGGCTGCTTCAAATTCTTTCACTTTCAACTTAAAAGCATTTAAAGGTAAAAACTCAGTCAATTTCAAGTGTCTTTGTAAAAAATTCCACTCAGATGGAGCTACGTAGCTAAAGGCTTTCTTCTCCAGTTCTGTAAAAGGAACAGTGAGCAACAGCTGATGGTTGGATCTCAGGGCAGAAGAAGCCGTGCTTTTCTGTGTAAGTAGGTACAAATGTAAGAGGGCAGTGATCCAAGAAGGGCCTTGTAAATAAAAGTGTACCAATGACACTACCTTCTTTTAGAGAGGGAAGGCCATCCCACCTGGGAGTACAGGTCACAGTGATGTCATGGCTCTACAGTTTGTGATGAACCTTAATGAAGCATCATAAACAGAGTCCAATATTTAAAGACATGAAGAAGTGGCATTCTTATAAAAAAAGGTCACAAAATCTAAGACAGATAAAAATGTGGCAGAGACAAGGCGGTTTTTTTACTCAAAAAAAAAAAAAAGTCTTATTATGAAACAAAAAGCCCAGTTTAACTTTTCATTTCTTAACAAGTTTATCAATAAAAGCTTTGAAGGTGAGGGAGTCATCAATTCCAATTCCAAGGTATTTATATTCATGTATTTGTATTCGTGTTGCAACCCTGTTGTGTCTGCATGCCTTATTTTGTAATTTAATTTATTTTTTGTATGTGTCAAAATGAACCAAACATGTTTCTTTGCAGAGGGAAAAACATAAAAAAAACCCAGCTGCTCCGGCTGTATTCCTGGATGGGACTACTCGGTGCCATTCAGCTTTCCTCAAGGACCGCCAGATGCTGCCTGTGCCAGCTTTCTACACCCAAGTCATGTTTTTCTACAAAATCTGCTGTCCTGGGGGGCAGAAACATCCTGCTGATGGGCCCGCCTGGAGCAGGGAAGACCACAGCTGGCAAGATTGTGGCCCATAAAATGGGTCTGCCCGCCATAGACATCGATGACGATGTCTTGGAGACGGCGTGGAAGATGCCAGTGGCGGCCAAGCTGGCAGAAGTGGGCGGAAAGCGTTTCCTGGAGGAGGAAGGCCAGGCTTTGTGTAACTTCTCCGTCTCTGGCTGCGTTGTTTCCCTGACTGGTTCAAATCCCCTCCATCATGAAGCCATGCAGCACATCAAGCAGAACGGAGTTGTCGTTTACCTGGACGTGGACAGCGAGGACATCATAGAGAGACTCGACAGGATGAAGGTTAATCGGATAGTGGGACAGGAGGAGGGGGTGTCCATGAGAGACATTTTGCTCTACAGGAGGCGCTTCTATGAGAAATGGCTGGACGTAAGGGTGTTTTGTGGAACAGGAGACACAGTGGAGGAAGTGGCGGAGAAGGTAGTGAGGGCCGTAGAAAGATATCAGGAGCATGATGAGGAGACCTACGTTTCAACCAGGTACTCTGAAATGTCCTATAGAAAAACATTCTTCAGTGACGTGGTTATCGAGGGTCTGGCTGCAGATGGAGGTCTTTATGTCCCCAGGAAAGGCTTTCCAAAGATTCCTAAAAGCGAATGGCTCAGATTGATTTCTCTGTCATATCCAGAAAGAGCCTCTGTCTTGCTGGAAAAGTGCATCCATCCACACGACATCTCTGCTTTGGACCTCAGGAGTATGATATTCAAAGCTTATGGAAGCAACTTCTCCAGCGAGAAAGTTGCACCTGTCAAACATCTTGTCCAAAATCAGTACGTCCAGGAGCTTTTCCATGGCCCGACCGCCTCGTTCAAGGACCTCGCCTTGCAGCTGATGCCTCAACTCTTCGCCTACTGCCTCCCACCGATGTGCAATTTCCTCATCTTGGTCGCCACGTCTGGGGACACAGGCAGCGCCGTCCTCAGCGGCTTCAGCCAACTGAGCGGCGCCAACGCACACCGAGCCGGTGTGTTGGTGTTCTTCCCTGAGGTAGGCGTGAGTCAGATCCAGAAGCTACAGATGACGAGCTTTAGGGAAGGAAACACCAGAGCAGTCAGTGTTCTGTCAGACTTTGACTTCTGTCAGAAGAGCATCAAGAGGATGTTTGGAGATGCAGGGCTGACTGGGCATCTGACTGTGGAGTACGGCACCATCCTCAGCACCGCCAACTCCATTAACTGGGCACGGCTCCTACCACAGGTATGTTGATTGTCTCTATAAATTAAAAAGGAAAAAATAAATCAGTTCAGAGTTTCTACACAGTATGGGAAAGAAATACTAATATCAAGAGACTTTACTCTTTGTCCCACTGACCAAAAGATCTGTTCAACTCTCAATTAGCCTAAATACGTATATCTGTAGTGGCAGGTTCCTATAGTAATAATAATAAAATGAGCGCTTATAGGTTCTATATTAACATATAATATACTTATTGTTTTTCCTGAGTAAATAGCCTAAATGACATCTGATAAAACGTTTTTATGTTATTTTCAGGATGTTTTTCTTCCAGCTTCTTTGAGGTGATGCACTTTCGTCGGTTTCTACCAAAGAAATGTCTGTACTGTCATTTTATTATTTTAATGCAGATGTTTTGATATGGATCCACATGAGAATGGATGCTTTTTTTTAATCTTTAGTTAGGGTTGTCATGATACTAAACTTTTCAACTCGATACCGATAATAAGGAAAATATTCGATATTCGATACCATTTTCGATACCACAAGGATAAAAACAAAGACTCCAAAATTCTACAGAAATATTTTCATTAATAAATAAAATAAAATAAATAAATACAATACACAATAAGAACAATATTTTGAGGTTGTATGCTGTGCACAATATTAAGCAAGCTTGATAAAAACTTACAAAATTAAAATTAAGTGTTCCTTCCCTGGATATGCTTTGCACACATAACAATGACGCTAGCCAAACCGGTTAAGAAACAAAAATAATTCTCAGCAGCTGCACCTGTTACAAAAAAAAGTCTGAAACTGAAAAGTGCACAGAATAAATCAATCACACAGTGTTTCTGAAAGTGCAACTTCCTCTATTCTGCACTTTAGATGAATGACTGCTTAGGTGCCACTGGTGGTGGCACTGTATCGATACTTTTAAAAACGAGTATTGTATCCGGATACAACGTTTCAGTATCGATACTTTTTTGAGTATCTATACTTTTGACAACCCTATCTTTAGTCTATTTCTCCTAATTTCACAGGAGACAAAGGTTAATATAACATTCCTAAAAATAGGACAGAAGTATTTTAACATGTCAGAAAAGCAAAATGTACAGTTTCATATATATATATATTAGGGATGGAACGGTTTATGAAAACCGTCCGAACCGTTCGGTTTGTCTCGGTTCGGTTCGCGTGTGTTTTGTTCGGTTCATGCGCTGCTCCTTTTTCTCATAGAGGAAGCGATTACACTCCAGATCAGAAGGTGGCGGTACTGCGAACAAAGCCAACCACCAGGAGTAAACAAGAAGAAGAAGCGAAGCAGCGTAGCCGGGTGTAGCAGAAAAAAAATCAGTTGTTGTGGAGAATTGTGTGGGTATGGCGAGTGGGAAAGAACAGGAGTTGGAAGACGCGCCAGCAGCACTTTATAGGTCTGCTGTATGGGAGCGCTTTGCATTTAGAGTGACCTACGATGACGGCTGAAAGAAAGTTGTGGATAAAAGTGCAACAGTGTGCAAGCATTGTGCAACACGTTTTGTTTATGCTAACAGCAACATGACCAACATGTCAGGCTAACAATTAACATATACCGAACTGAACCGAAAACCATGACCACGAAACCATGAACCGAACCGTGGATTTTGTGAACCGTTCCACCCCTAATATATATTAGGGATGGGACGATTTATGAAAACCGTCAGAATCGTTCGGTTCGACTGTGTTTCGTTCGGTTCATGCGCTGCTCCTTTTTCTCATAGAGGAAGCGATTACACTCCAGAGCAGAAGGTGGCGGTACTGCGACCAAAGCCAACCGCCATTAGTAAACAAGAAGAAGAAGAAGCGAAGCAGCTTAGCCGGGTGTAGCAAGGAAAAAAATCAGTTGTTGTGGAGAATTGTGTCGGACTGGCGAGTGGGAAAGAACTTGAGTTGGAAGACGCGCCAGCTGCACTTTATAGGTCTGCTGTATGGGACCACTTTGCATTTAGAGTGACCTACGATGACGGCGGAAAGAAAGTTGTGGATAAAAGTGCAACAGTGTGCAAGCATTGTGCAACACGTTTTGTTTATGCTAACAGCAAGATGTCATGTTAACCCCGAAATCCCTCATACTCCGTCAGCAACCCCCGCTCCGCCCCGCTGCGCTCCAGACCGGCTGCTCAAAGCAAAGCCTACAGCCCCCGCTGTGGCTTCGTCCGCTCCCCTCTGAGTTCCTTGGAGATGGTAGAGAGCATGTAACCTGACAATAGCCAGATGCATGAGCGAGACATGCATCTGGCTGTTGTCAGGTTAGAGAGCATGCGCAAGATGATTAAATTCAAAGCAGCAAAACATACGGAAATGATCCAGGGTTTCCGCAGATCATTTAAAATAATTACAATCCATTAATTTTGGGGGGATTTTTTCATTAATTTCATAATTTTTTATGGAATTTCGGTGTAACAATCAACATGTATCGAATCGAACCGAAAACCGTGACCAGAAACCGTGAATCGAACCGAACCGTGGATTTTGTGAACCGTTCCACCCCTAATATATATATATATATATATATATACACTATATTGCCAAAAGTATTTGCTCACCCATCCAAATTATTGGAATCAGGTGTTCCAATCACTTCCATGGCCACAGGTGTATAAATTCAAGCACCTAGGCATGCAGACTGTTTTTACAAACATTTGTGAAAGAATGGGTCGCTCTCAGGAGCTCAGTGAATTCCAGCGTGGAACTGTGATAGGATGCCACCTGTGCAACAAATCCAGTCGTGAAATTTCCTCGCTCCTAAATATTCCACAGTCAACTGTCAGCTGTATTATAAGAAAATGGAAGTGTTTGGGAACGACAGCAACTCAGCCACGAAGTGGTAGGCCACGTAAACTGACGGAGCGGGGTCAGCGGATGCTGACGCGCATAGTGCGAAGAGGTCGCCAACTTTCTGCAGAGTCAATCACTACAGACCTCCAAACTTCATGTGGCCTTCAGATTAGCTCAAGAACAGTGCGCAGAGAGCTTCATGGAATGGGTTTCCATGGTCGAGCAGCTGCATCCAAGCCATACATCACCAAGTGCAATGCAAAGCGTCGGATGCGGTGGTGTAAAGCACGCCGCCACTGGACTCTAGAGCAGTGGAGACGCGTTCTCTGGAGTGACGAATCGCGCTTCTCCATCTGGCAATCTGATGGACGGGTCTGGGTTTGGCGGTTGCCAGGAGAACGGTACTTGTCTGACTGCATTGTGCCAAGTGTAAAGTTTGGTGGAGGGGGGATTATGGTGTGAGGTTGTTTTTCAGGAGCTGGGCTTGGCCCCTTAGTTCCAGTGAAAGGAACTCTGAATGCTTCAGCATACCAAGACATTTTGGACAATTCCATGCTCCCAACTTTGTGGGAACAGTTTGGAGCTGGCCCCTTCCTCTTCCAACATGACTGTGCACCAGTGCACAAAGCAAGGTCCATAAAGACATGGATGACAGAGTCTGGTGTGGATGAACTTGACTGGCCTGCACAGAGTCCTGACCTCAACCCGATAGAACACCTTTGGGATGAATAAGAGCGGAGACTGAGAGCCAGGCCTTCTTGTCCAACATCAGTGTGCGACCTCACAAATGCGCTTCTGGAAGAATGGTCAAAAATTCCCATAAACACACTCCTAAACCTTGTGGACAGCCTTCCCAGAAGAGTTGAAGCTGTTCTAGCTGCAAAGGGTGGACCGACGTCATATTGAACCCTATGGATTAGGAACGGGATGTCACTTAAGCTCATATGTGAGTCAAGGCAGGTGAGCAAATACTTTTGGCAATATAGTGTATATCTCAATCTGGGCCAGTCTTTGATTGGCAGATTGTTGTTGTTCATCAACATGCCGCTTTAAATTTGTGAGGGCAGAGAGAGCTCAGCAAGCAATCAGGGGTCGATCGTTTGTTTTTATGGTTAAGCGCGCGGCAGACTCTCTCTTAGCGAGGATGGGGGAGTTTCATTGCTGCACATCATTCTCACTGCATGCTCAGACTGTCAGCTGCACGTTCAAGTCGGGGGCACAATAATTACGCCATACAGGAAATCCCAAACTCTTCCACTCTGCTGTGGAGCTCCTAGCTTCTAGCAGAGGACCCGCTTTGCATTCTAACACACAATATTACAAAATATTAAAACCTTTAAAAAAATAAGTTTTCTTACTTTTATTTGCACTTTAGAACTGATTATATTTGTTTAGAAAAAGGCTGCTACTAACACATTTTTAAACGTTATTTACCCCCAGTTAATAAGTACCTTTCAACAAACAGAGAATGGTAAGAACAGAGCAAAATAAAGCAAAACTTCCAAGTGTTTATGTAAGGAAAATGCTTCCATTAGTGTCCATGTTTTGTCTGGAGTGACTTTAAAGCTCAAAAGTCAGACTCAGAGAAGTAAGGAAGAAGGTAAACCAGGCGCCCTGCCAGCTAAGGATGGGGTTGATCCTTTTTTTCATAGACAGGAGAAGAGTTTTAAATTTCCAGAGTTTATTTCAATGTGATGTTTTAATACAAGTAATCCAAGTTTCTTTATAATGATTGAAAAGAATAATTATAATAAAACAGGACACTTAGATAAAAGCGTACATCAGAGAACCAATCAGGTAAGTTTCCACAATGTTCTTTAGCCTGTTTATCTCTGGTGTTTAATGTGAGCTCAGGCTGCAGTAAAGCAGCGATCTGGATCACATGACCTGTTTAGTGACAGATCTGAACCTCTCAAACTACATAGTGGAGTTTTTGAGACTGGAAGCCTGCACAGAGCATCAATATGCAGCGATATTGAACTAAAAAAATTTTTTTATTGTGTCCTAAATTGAGCTGATACTTGGGTCAAAATGTGCAAAGTTTTTTTTTTTTTAATAAAAGGAAAAGGGACGTGGTTTGATTGTACATATTCAATTGAGTAATGAATATTTTTTTCCTCTTGCAGGTCGTTTATCATTCTTCTGGCTATCTGGATCTTTGCAGAGATGGTGTGATTAACTTCGGAGATCCTGTGGATGTTTGCATTCCTACCGGGAACTTCGGGAACGCCATGTCAGCTTTGTACGCCAAGCAAATGGGCATCCCGATAAGAAAAGTCATCTGTGCGTCCAATCACAACAGAGTTGTTGCCGACTTCATCAGCACAGGGCGGTATGATCTCCAGGACCGCTCCCTGCTTCTCTCCCACTCCCCTGCTATAGACATCCTGAAGTCCTCCAACCTGGAGAGGTTTGTCCATCACATCTCAGACGGAAACAGCTGCCTGGTCAAGGACTTATTCACATCCTTGGACATGCAGAAATGCTTCCAGCTTCCTGATCATCTTCTTGGCAAGATGCAGGAGCAAGTGCAGGCTGGCTGGTGTTCTGAGGACGATTGCTTGGCCGCCATCCAGAGCGTCCATGGACAGACGGGATACATCATGGATACGCACACTGCTGTGGCAAAGGTTGTGGCCGATCGGCTTCAGGATGGCTCATGCCCCACAGTGCTCTGCTCCACTGCCCACTACGGGAAATTTGCTCCCGCAGTGTTCAAAGCTCTGCAGATCCAGAATATTCCTGAGGATCCTGTGGAGCAGCTGAAGGAGCTGGAAGCGGCTGCGTCTAAACCAGAAGCACACAGAGAAATGATGAAATGCCTGAAGGAGAGAGGCGGCAGGGGGCACAGAGTTTGTTCGGCTGATTACAGTGTGCTGGTAGAGGAGGTAGAGGGCGTAATACAGGACTCTTTCTTAAAAGTCACATAGAAAAAACAGTCATTTGAATTATAATTCACAAAGAAAGTGCTTTGGATTTGTCATGTCAATAAAATATATACTCCTTCTGTATTTTTATAAAGTAGGATGTTATCGAAAAGAAAGGATCATTTATTGAATAATTTAAAACAAAATAAATCTATTTTCTGGCCAGAGATATACAGGGATGTTCCTTTTTTCCAATTCAAAATCATCTATATAAAGTATTTGTTGCAAGAAAAGATTTCTTGGAATCAAACCAAGCTTTATCCAGATTTTTGACATGTCATGTCTGCAGTAGGCGGTGCCCTCCCTGAGTTCAGAGTAAGTCATCTGGGATTTATCATTTACTGAAATGATGTTAAACTTATTATGACACTGGAGGATACAAGTACAGTAGTTGCTAAAACAACAACCCAGTAAGAGCAGTAATTAATTCAAAGATGCACAAAAAATTAAGAATAATATATATATATAGATATATATATATATATATATATATATATATATATATATATATATATATATATATATATATATATATATTATTTGTCTTTAAATATGCAGATATATCCAGCACTCTTATTCGGTTAAATGTGCTTTAGCAAGTTCTAGCTCAACCACACACTTTGTGAAGACATATTTCATTGTTTTTGGCAGAGGTAGAGTTTATTTAGAAGAGCTGAACTCCTTGAATTGACCTGAATTTTAGACATATTTGTAAAAATCTTTTCGCCTTAAATCAGTGGGATTACGTTCTTTAAGGAACACTTAGCTGTGGCCGTGTTTCTGCTGACCGGCCCAAACTATAAACCTCTAATCAAAGGGAATGCCTTAGAATGGTTGGGAGTAAATAAAGGAACCAATAATGTTCAAGTCAGCTTTACATCAAAAACTCCCAAACAACCAGTTTAACCACTTTAACAGTGAGGTAGTTTAACATCTATGGATTGAGAGGGTGCAGGCATGAAAAGTGCACTGCAAAAATGATAATTAGATAATATGCACTTGAAATAAGACAATGCAATTATTTTTGTGTAATTTCCATATTTCTTATTTTAAATTTGAGTGATAATTTTCCATTGAAAAAGTCTCACCTCCTCATTTCAAGAACAAATATACTTATTTGATAAAAAAATAACTTTTTCCAGTGGTAATATATTACTCAATTGCACACCTTCACACAAAAGAGCCTACTAGAATGATCTAGTCCCATTGAATGAATTTAAGGCCATGTTAAAATGTCATGTAATTCAAAAATGTAACTGCCCTATGTGACCTGTCTTTTCCTCTATGTGAGATTTTGTCTATGTTGTATTTCTGTTTGTATTTTAACTGGTGTGCCGTCTTGGCCAGGTCTCCCTCGAAAAAGAGATTTCAATCTCAAGGGACTTCCTGGTTAAATAAAGGTTAAAAAAAAAAAAAAAAAAAGCCTACTAGAACATGGTACATTTCATGTTAAAATATGAAAAAGAAACTTAAGTTTCACTTAATCATAGTGAAGTCCAACAAAAAATGTTTCAGTACAAATGGATAAACCAGGCTAAAATTAAACATCTGAAATGCTCCTGCTGAAAATATGTGCCTTAACCATTTTGAATAAGCCCATTTTAATCAAATTAAAAGAACTCTAATACTTTGACAGCGTTATGCAAAAAGCTTGAACTGAACGTAAGACCTTTGTCATCAAATTTCAATGTGTAAAGGGACTTCATTCTAAATATGTATTGTGGTGTATGTAAATATTTGAAAATGCAGGTCTAGTCCTGCATAGATGATAGTAATTGAACATTTAATTTAAACTTCTGGGCTTAATTCTTGTTATTAAACTTCATTGAAATAATTTGTTGTTAAATAATGTGGCCATAGACAAAAAAAAAGCTTAAACAATTTTTTAAAACACCCACATTTCAAATAACAACTATGACCGTGACGAGTGAACCTCTGACCTTAGCTATGCATTTAGGGCCACAGGTGAGTTAAATTTGTTGAACTATTTATCTTTATTGGTACTTGTGTTCGTCATCTTTTCAAAAGCAATAAGAGCATCAACAAGAATAATTAAGCAATTCCTGGAATTCTGAATTTCTTTTTCGACTCACATGGGCAGCGTCTTATAATCCCAGCAAATCTTGCACAAAAACATGCTGTAGAAAGAGATGTGATGTAATAAGCGATTTCCTTGTTGCCATATTTTATGGGTCTTTTATTGAGTCTTTACAGCCTATCATTACCTTAAAAACATTCCTGGAAAATTCCAATGTGTTGTATAGGTTCTGAGCTTAGGAGGAATTGAGCCTAAACAAGCTGTTGCTTAGAATTTCTAGAAAGCTATTGCCTATATGTGGCGAGGTCATTGCAGCCGTCTTTTCCAGAAATTTGATTAGAGTCCTGCTCTTAGTTTTTAATGAGGAAAAACGTAAAAGTGTAAACGTATGTTGCAACCTGCTTGCATTTCCTCAGAAACCATCGCTTTAAGTAGGAAAAAAACAGGTACTGGTACCCCCCTTAATACCATCCAAATATATAACAATAACGTGGATAATATTTTTACACAGATCTATAGATCTGACGAAAAGGAACAAGAACAAAAAGTTATAAGTCAAATCTATTTGAGCTAAATTCAAAGTATCATGAAGCCACTTTGACTCACTTCAAGCCTCATGATTTTAAAATGCAAATATAACATTAAAAAGATAAGGGTATGAAATGAAATATAAAATATATCAATAACCTCATAAAGGTTTCCTATTGCATGCAAAAGTATTCACAAAAGAAAAATATGGACCTCTCCAGTCTCCCTTATGACTCTCCCTTCTATGATCACAGTATGCAATTAAGTAGTAAAAAGAGCTCTGCTACAGGTGATACTCTAATTAAGTCACGAGTTGATGAATTCAAAACATCTTTGCAACTTCAGGGATGCCAAATTGTATCTGTTGTCTGTTTTCTGCTTTGTTTGCTACTGTTTCTTGAAACATTGTGTCTCTTTTTGTATGTTTGAGGACAGAAATGAACTGATCCCATGTTCACCATTCAAAGAGAAAAGGCTGAATAGAAGGTATAATATTAAATGCAAATGGTGAACCATATAATCTATTGCACTATGCAGTAAGATTCAAAATTCAGCGTGCTGACATCATCTCCAGGAAATGTCCCTGAATTTCAGTAGAAAATTCAGGCTTGGGTTATTCCATTCTAATGCAACATAAGAAGCAGAGATACAGGAGTAATTTACCTATTACATGTTGTCCACATAAAATATTTGTACAAATCGGGCTTTATTCGAACAGAACTTTACATGATGAGTTCTAGTTCTGTATTACACTCCACACTATTGCATATCAATCACTGTACTATATTTCTTTCCTTATTGTAATCTTTCTCAAAATCTGTAAAATTATGTGAAAGCATATGCACCATTTTTGGTGGAATTTATTTTTTTTTTTTAAGATTTAAATTTATAACAAATGAAACCCGTTGCTTTGATGCAAAATGCTTGCCATGCATTCATGCGGCTGATGAGTGAGGAAAAGTAGAGAAGAATTATCTCGGCATTGATGTTTACAGCTCCCGAAGGACTCAAATGAACCTGTGCAGAGTTAAATAATAACAACAGCCCTGTCCTCTTCTCTACAAGGAAACAAATGTTGGACTTTGCAAGATTCTGATTCTACAAACCCAGGGTAGCCCTTTGGGGGCCCTGAGAACAAATGCTGTGCGGTGCCATCCTCCACCCCTATTGCAAATGAATGAAAATGCAGAATTGTTTCTCTTTATTTTCAAGATATCATCTCAATATTAATGTTTTGTCAACAGATGCAATAAATAGGAAAAATTAAAATTTTACACCAACATTGGTGGATATACTTTTAATATATCATGGATGAAAATTAACAAAACAGAGTTTGAGAGGAATTACAATAAGGAAATAAGTATTCATTAATAATTTAACTGAGATGTTGAGCATTCTTCGCCCCATCAGGGATCTCCGGTCTGCTGATCAAATGGTTCTGGATGTCCCTAAGTCTCGGTATAAACAGTGGGCCGATCGTTCCTTTGTGGTTACTGCTCTTAAACTGTGGAACAACCGGCCCCACGGTCTGCAGGTTCTCACTGATCTGCACCTTTTTATGTCCAGATTAAAGACTCTTTTAAAAAAAACAAAAATGGCTTTTAATACTTAGGACACATTGTTTTATTCTTATGACTTGTTTTTTTTGCAATGTTTTTAATCTTTCTGTGAATTACTTTCGTCCTCCTGGTGTTGTAAATTTTTATTTGATTTGATGTGAAGTACAGTAAATAAACTGAAACATTGGGGAATGTAAAACAGAACTAGAACTCATTATATAAAGTCCTGTTTGAATAAAGCTCTATTCACACAGGATAAACATTTAAAGTGGACCCCATGTACACTGCAAAAACAATCCAGAAATAAGTAAAAAATGGCTTAAATTAAGTATATTTAGCCTTAATTTGAGCAGGTAAATAAGATGATTTGCCAATGGAATGAGTATTTTCACTCTTAAAATAAGATAGTTAGATAATATTTACTTGAAATAAGACGATAAAATATTTTTTTCTTATTTTAAAAGGAAATTGTCTTGTTCCATTGGCAAAGTGTCTTACTTATCTCCTCAAATCAAGGAAAAACACACTTATTTTAAGAAAAAATAACTTATTGAGATTTATATTTTTTGCAGTGTAACAAATAAAGCACTCCTCTATGTCTGCTTTGTATGTGTTGGATTGCTTTGGAATAATACAAGCCTGAATTATTTTTAAAGATTCTGGGACATTTCCTGGAGATGATGTCAACATGCTGCATATTCAATTATAAACCACAAGGCTTTAAATCCCGTATTTCAGTGGAAAGGGGGCTAATGTTGGTAAAAGAGCAGCAGCCTGCAATGCAGGAAGCCTGTAGAGGGAGCCAACAGGATATAAGGAGATTCAGCATCCTTTAAAAGTATTAGAAAAACCTAGTATGGATAAATCGTCTTTACATGCCGTCTGTTTTTGTTGTTTTTCTGATTTAAAACACAAGGTGTCATTGTTACTTACTGCTCCTTTAACAAGCTAAACAGTGTTTTAACATGCTACATACTGTACATAACATGACATACAGACGGATGGACGGACAGACACAGATTTCTGAAAGACATAGAAGATAATCCAGGAAATGTAAACATAATGTGCACTAAAGGCTGCCATAACTAATCAGCTCGGCAAAATACGAGGAAGATGCAAAGAAGCAGGAGGAAACTAAGCCTTTAGTTTTTCTGTCTTGTTGAAGAAATTTGTTAGTTAATTGAAATCAAGTAATTTATCAGTTGCCAGTTCACAAAACGTCATCTCAAGGCATCTTACAGTGACAATTCATTCAGCCAGATGGTAAATTTTCTTACACACTTATCCCAAGTGGGGTCGCAAGGGGTGCTGGTGCCTATCT